GTTGAAGTGGTGGTAGGAAACCCTTGGCCCAGGGGTGGACACACACACACACACCTTCTTGGATTTTACACACAGGACAGAAACGTCAACAGAAATGTGTTTGCAACAGCAGCCACACGGGAAAGAAGGAGAGACACACGCACGCCGTCCTGGCCTTCTCAGCATGCCCGCGGTCCTGTCGCTCATGTGCAGCCTCGCAGTGGCTGCGACTGATGCTCCCACAGTTTTTCACAAAATGGAGTCAGCATGTGGAAGCAGAAGGAGAAGCAAACAAAGGGACGAGTGTTGGACATCGCGAATCTGTAGAGGCGTGTGCAGCCACTGCCCGTTCTGCTTTTGCAAATCCAAGGGGTGTGGAGCAGGCAGGCGGTCCCAACCCTGGTATATATGTATGTGAAGTACGTACCAATATTATGTACCTTTCTTTACCAAAAGCAAAGAGCTTTTGAGCGCAACTTGGGCTGTGTGGTTATCAATCAACAAACAGTGTCCCCCCAAGTACATGACAAAAGTGACCAAAAAAACAGAACAATCATGAACCAGCGATTCTCTCAAGTAGCTTTGGGTCACTATCGTCTTGGATGCTTCCCTTTGGCTTGTCCCGTCCCCATGGGTCCCCTTGCCTGTAGCTGTTCCACCCAGGCACCTGCGAGAAAGCATCGCGGACCAATCCACCCAGGCCGGAGCTGTCAATCACGGTGGGGGGCGTGATTTTCCAAAGGCCAATAATAAAGCAGGGGTGGCAAAAACCGATGACATGCTCCAAACATCTGGATGCTTCGAGATGTAAACATGAGGTGAACCATCCAATGAAAAGGGTCAAACCATCGGGTGAACAAATCAAACATCCCAGTATATCCCAGTTATTGCTATGCTAAGGGAGATCAACATCAGGTTGGCCATCCACTGGAGAAGTTTTCACGTGATACATCGAACAGACTGGCATCCAATCGATTTGGCATCTGGTCTCGATTCGTCGGTCTTGATGCTGAGCGCAGTCACGGGATCCGGTCTCAACTTCACCCATGGCCATCTCTTCTGAAAGGATCAACCTGGGATTTGTGAGCGAAGGAGCAGCCTGAGATCTCTGGTGCTTGTACAGTTACTATTTTACCAAGTATTAATATAGAAATATATAGAATGATACACTTAGATACGCATACATGACATCTCAAGTGTCGCCTTCCATGATGTTTGGCACTCCCCAAGAAACCAAGACTAGGAACAACACATCGGCCCCGAACGCAAGTCCTCTGCTCAAAGAGCCCAAGCACAAGTCTTGAGATTTTAAGAGATGAAACAATATGATGCTTGCTGGAAATGATGCATTGCAAAATACGTTTGTTCTTGTAGGACCGTAGAATCCACCAGACCGCAAGCTTTGATAGGGCATAGAAAGCACAGAACAAGCGAAATATGACCGGTATCAGGTTCGACAAAAATCCCTACACTGGTGATCCCCGATTCATCAGTTCATTGGACCCATCGCCGGTGGCCCACCTTCTGCCCCACCTTCTAAGCCCTCTCGGTGTCCCGGACGCTTTCTCCAAGCTGCCCTGGTGAATGTAAAACCTGCGAAGCCGCTTATCGAACCACGGCAACAAAGGGAACTTGTGTGGGCTTCAGCCCATCAGTACTGCAGGTCATACCAGCAAAACAGGATATTGTCATATATTATATATACAGTTATAATCAATTATATACATATCCTTACACATTGTACCATATTGTATATGGGTGTGCGTCAAAACCCCGGGTCTCAGGTGAACATCGCGCACCTTCCTGTTCCATAGGGTATGGAACGGATCCCTTGTTCCATAAGGTATGGAACAGGTATGGAACGGGGGTATGGAACAAATTGTACCAAAAAACCTGACGTGTGATCTCAGTCCCGTTTCTCACGGTAAATGTATTTCAGCAAGCAAAGCGCACGTTTTGATTGAACCTCGAACAATTGTAATATAGTAATCCATAGGTATGGAACGATGGGTATGGAACGGCGAACAAACATGCTGTTCCAGAGGTATGGAACGGGGTATGGAGCGAGATGTTCAAGAGTACATGTTCCATACCAAAACGTTTTGACTCATGGCCATATGATCACACAGACATCCTAGACTAGACACACTCTTCCTAGGAACAACACCTAGTTCGCTTGCTGGAAGGTTCCAAAGTCAGGAAGAATCACCACAACCACAACGACTGGTCGTGTTTGCCATTTCAGCTCTGCAAATCTAATGTCGGGTTTGACTCTTGTATGTAACTGTATATATATATACAAATATATATCTCTTTTGATCTCTTTTGTGCTCCACAAAGCGTCATATTCAGTCCTAGAAAGGGGCAAGCCACACTATGAGGCAAGCAGAAAAACTCTTGGAAGCTTCTAAGTTTCACCTTTGAACAGGGGAAGTTGACTCGCTGGGTCTCCGAAACCCTACCAGTCGACTTGTTGGGTCTCCTAGCGCTGCCCCTGGCTGCCCGGCTGCGGGGGTACGGAGCTAGGAATGAACAGAATGGGCACGTACGACACTGTGTGGTGCGTCAGTAATATGAAGCAAAAAACATGTATGCGACAAATTAAAGCAAGGGTTGCAAAGACCAGGCATGAACTGTTGATGCAAAGCACGGACCAGGTGTCGTATTGCTGACGGTAGCCCAAATATATCCTGCAAACACTCACGAACTGCTGAAATCATCGAAGGAAGCCGGCTACGAACTCGTGTTTCTGTTCCAAAATGTGTTTCCAAATTGTCTGCATGGTGCTTCCAGAACCAAACATGCCGGCCGCCTATACTCGGGGATCAAAGGTGTCTGCGCGAATGTGAATGTTTTTGGATTGTCACCGCACTGCTCGTTTGTTGGGGGTAGGATGACTATATCAGGGAGTCGGCTATCCGTAGTAATTCAATGCCGCCGCATTCATTCATGGACAGTTTTAACGGGGAGACTCACGCCATAGAACATGAAAAGCACTGCAAATTCTGCCCACGAAATGCCAAAGACCGGACTGTCTCGTTTTGCTTCTGGTGATCGCCAGTTGAGCGGCCAAGAATTTCCAGATCGAGGTAGCTCAGGTTCTTGCCCACATAAAATTACTCACACATTGAACGGTATTAAAGCCTCTGCAATTCCTGCAAGCACGGTAAGGTCCCAAACATTGTTTTGAACATTAAACATTGTTTCGACAGTTGTTTTGAAAATTCTACAATTGTTATAAAATTGTTTTACATTGTTTAACAATTGTTGAACAGTTGATTGAAAACTGTTCAAAAATTGTTTGCATTGTTGAACAGTTGTTAGAAAATTGTTCAACATTGTTTAAGCTGTTTAACAATTGATTGAAAATTGTCCCTAAATTGTTTAAATTGTTGAACAATTGATTGAACATTGCTCTAAATCTATTCTAAAGTTGTTTAAGTTGTTTAGCAGCTAGCATTATTCAAAATTGTTCTAACGTTGTTTAAATTGTTAAATATTGTACACTTGATTGACAATTGTGCCGAAAATTGTTCGAACTGTTCAACAATTTTTTGAGAGCTTTTGAACTGGTTAACATTTTTTTGAATCTTGTTTTGAAGATTGCTTGGGATATGTAACAACTGTTTGGAATGGTGATGAACTTGCTTTACAACTTAGAAGGGGCCTCAAAATGAAGCGTGTGTGGAGAAGGGGGTCAGCCCAAATCGCTTATACGAAGTTAGTGCATCAAAAATAGCTTCTGCAAAGTTCTACGAAGGTTTCTGGGATTTTGTTGCAGTCAGTTTTCCTACTGGCCCACCATTCCACGAAACGTCCACGAATAGCCCCGGGTTAAACGAATGTCCCGCGCCTTCCACGATGTTAGTAGAATAGGTTTTTGCAAAGCTCTTTCTGTGTACTACCCTTCCGTTTGCCTCTGACAAAATACCCAAGGTTATTGATCTTTTGTTGTTGCCCACTCTTTTCTTCAATGAAATTGTGGTCGCGCTATTTCGATGGGGCTTCTAAAACCTCTCCCATTTCGGGGATCAACAAATACTGCAATTACATGCAATTACTACTATCACACTTACAATCACTATTGCTATTACTATTACTACTAACTGTGGACGAAGAGTAACAGTAACCTACCTTCAAAGTGAACCTCACCACGACACCCTCGACTACCAACCAACCGTGCAAGCAAGAGCAACTGTCGGTTTTTTCTTGTGTTCCCAGCACAGTGTGTTTTACTACCATACAACTCATACAAGTTTTATTTCTTGATTGCTAGGCTTCTCATGTCTAGTAGCAACCTCTGCGATGAGCAGGAGGTAGCGTTTTAAGTCACTCCGACATGAGCGGGTTCTTGGACTTACATCCTTTTCCTTGGGCTACCAGCCGTGCCACAAGACCACAAATGTGCCTAATATCACTTCAAGTCTTGCTTCAATACCTGGTCCTAACTCTATGGTCCAACCATGTCAATCTAATTAAGTTTCGAACAATCCCTTCAGCTTCCCATCATCGCTGGAACGAGGTCGCCTGACAAGCTCCAGGTAAGTTCGCTGGTTCAGCTGCACACCCTCCCATTCCAAACGCTCCAGAAACGCCTGCAGCACACGGAGAGGAGGGCCACGACTATGGCGCTCAATCAAGACGAATTGTGCTTGCGAAAATGACCAAAAGAATCTGGAGTTGAAACCTCTCAAAGAGTTAAAGGGGCTTATTCCACTTATAGTCTACTTATAGTCCATATAGATTTAGATATGTATAATTCTATGGGAAGAACACAGGAACAGGAAACAAACCAACAAACCAGTATGTGAAAACCCTGGGACCTGCTTTACCAATGGGTTTCATGTGTTGTTTGGCTTCAACATCACATCGTTGCTCACAGCACTGAAAAGCCAGTTTTGGGGCACATAAGTTGGCGCAAGGCGCAACAAATAGTACTAGTAGTGATCTACCAATATTTTACAGTTGGAAGCGTGGTACACCAACTATAACACGGTCGCCTTTTCATTAATTCGGTTGTATTGATTAAAATAAATATGTTGATCTAATATTCCGGACAAAAAAATGTAAAATGACATGATATGTGATGCATAGTTCCCTGTTACAGTGGACACACCTAAAGATTCTTAGAGCAAATGAACATCATTCCAGCTTTAGCTATTTTCAACAATGTGGTTTTGTTCAATCGTTTTCATACTTTTTTCTGGTCTGTTTCTTCATAGTTCTTCTGTCAACACAAGTCGCCCCCCGCATTGCTCCTGAAGACTCCCGCGCCTTTTCCGACACGACCGGCGCTTCTGCTTCGAACGAGCGTCGGTCGGCCTCCACCTGCTCGGCATCTTTGGCCACGCAGAACGTGCGGAGCATGGAGCAAGAGGCCTCGTTGCTGGGCGCAGCGGCGAGCTCCTGGCATCGGTTTTTAGGAGATGAGAGTGTACGACGTGTTCAATCCAACAGGATTCTGAAGAGGATGCGTTTTCGTTCATCATGTGACGCGTGTTTCTTCTCTTATATGTTAGACTGGGCATCCGCCTTCTGTGTGTTTCCTTCTGTGCATGTCACACACAAACACTGATACGTAGGAACCGCGCAGCCACGCAGAATGTTACAGTGCTTGGGTCAGCTCACGCGCATTGTGCGTTAAATCTCGCTGCTACCTGCTGTGTGCCCAGCTCCAACTCCGAGGCTATTTTTGGTGTGCTTCTTGAGCAGTCTTCCCAAGGCTCGTGCCATTATCATTCAACATGCTGGAGCACGTGCGGTCTCAACATGAAAAAGGCAAATCAAAGGCCGCAAATAGCAAATGATTTGGAGCAGGGCTGCAAAAACCATCACACACACACACATGTGTTTTTTGGCTGGTCTCCTAAGACACCGTCCATGGCAGTGTTTTTCGTGAGCATATTGAACTCTGACTTACAAAAACGGGTACCTAGCAACGCGTTGGATGTTTTCATGTGTTTTCTAGATTCTGTGTGTTTCGGAAGTGAGAATGATGATTTGGTGTTTTTGGGGATGCCAGGTTCAGAAATCATGGTATGTAGAGTGAGCATGCAGCTGAACAAACGGGACATTAATGTCAATAGAGGCCTGTGGTGAGGGTAGCGCCAGAGTTGTTGTCATACAAGAATACAAAATTCCACCAGAGGAACAATCTCAGCTCAAGCCTTATTATTTTGGCTCTGGAATGATTAAACTGCATAAGCACCAACCCCCAAGCCACTAATTTCAGCGAACCCCCAAACGACTAGTGACTAGGTCCAACGTGACATTGTGTGATTCTTCGTTGGTCGTGAAGAGAACAGACTTGGGGTACGGTTTGCACAGGACATCTGCTCGTTGGTAAGGTTCAAACCAGGCCAAGAGCATAGGAGCCTTTTGGGAAACCGATACTCTTCATCCGCCCCTAGTTGGATTGTACAGCCGCTTCAGTCTTGGGGGTTGGATGAATCCACCGTCTGCATCAGGTGGCGCGAGCAAAGGGAGCAGATTCACCGGGCGAGCGGAGCAGATTACCCGAGTGAAACTCGTATGTCAAATGTTGGTCTACAGGAAGACCCTCACCCCCCAGACTTTCACCCTCACCCAGAAAAAGACGAGGACCACATAGGACCAGCACAGTCTGAGTGCTGAGTGCTCCTCCCCGCATACTATGGTTCTGTGTTGCCAAACCGACCTGACGTGAACTCGTCTCGACTCGTCTCGACGGTCCTTCCAGATCTCCTGGGCCTTGGCAACATCGCCCTTTGAGGCATATGCCTCCAGGACCTCTTCAGAACAGCCGGGCCCTGACCCGGGAGGAGATGGATTGATACGGGGCAAGGATACTGGGAGGAGGAGATGGTGCCAAAGAAGTCATTCGAACGCCTGGTTTTTTGTAGTAGGGCGGATCATGACAGTCGATTGGGTCTCCAGTTGTTCTAGTCATCCTTTCGCTGCGGTTTTGTTTGCGTTTGTGGTGGTGTTCATATTTGTTTTGTTTTGGGAATCCTTTCTGAAGTGACGGAGTACCGGGGGGCTGCCGTTGAAGGACAAGTCGTCAAAGGTCTTGTATATAATTATCACCATTACCACCCTGAGTGCAGGATGTTGCTGACCGCTTGATGAGAACCCTGGGATCTTGATTCTGGCCTTATCTTTCATGCGCGGTATCTTGCAGGCTGGCAGGACCAATCTGCTTTGACATATCAGATCGCTTTGGCGGCACTGAAGCAGGTGTGGGTTGACCTGGATGCAGTGTCATCTTCAGATGCTCGGACAAGCCTCGATTAAGAATGTCAGTGCATGCTAGATCGGGACATTCTTGTGACAAATGTGATCTTGTTGGACCTGTCTTGACTGAAAAAAGTACCTTGTTGAATCGTCTGTGTGTGGGTGCGTGTGTTTCGCAGTGAAATCTTCATCCCGTGCAAACAGTTTCTGAAGTATGAACTCCAACTAGTCGGGAAGGGATGACACCAAACATGTTCAATCTTTACCACCTTGTCCTTTCATGGCCAAGAAAATGAAAAAAAGGTGATTTACAACAACCGGTTGAGGAGGTGTTCTTTTTGTCCTAATCTGTAATTACGCTCCCTCCAAAGCAAACAAAGATCCTCCATGCCATGGAATCCATCGCAACACAGTTATTTGATGTGGCAACAATGGCATGGGGAGAAGTCTGAACATTACCCCCACCAGCGGCTATATAACAACGAACCCCATGCGTATATCTTATCGCTTTGAGTGCGCCTCAAAACGAGGGCGTTCTTTCAATAACTAACAAACAACACCATACCCCTACTCAAACACTCCATGTATGCCGTGTGGGGTGGTTCTGGTTTGGGGCTCCACGAGCTCTTGGCCTCCCGGCCGCTTCGTACGAAGCCTCTGTGGGCTCCGTGCTGGAGGCCTGTAGCCTGTGTGCGGGGCGGCGGGGCGGCGTCAACAACAAGTGCAAGCGTGCATCCCGCCTTGCAAGCCACCGGTTGGCGGCCTCCATGTCACCGGCCTGGCCAACAAAAAAAAAACGTCACAAACAGGCCAGTGCATCTTATGACAGGCAAGCAATCCTCATAGTTTCCGATGAATGACTCTAGATCAATAGTCATCGATCATATCATATCTGTATTATCTGAAACAATGATTTGGAATGATGGCCACTTCTTGAACAGCAAACTCACGCAGGACATGACAATCTCCCTTGAAACCAATGAATAACCATGACTTGTTTTGGCCACCAGAAGCTGGCCAGTGCGCGCCATAATTTAGCCGGCAAGCGAGAAGTATACATGTGTGTCTATCAGCCTCTGTTTCCACACAGCCTCTCCACATCTGTACCCTGCAACCCAGCCTCCGCATAGCTCCTGGGCGACCCGGAGGGCGTTTGGAGGGCGACCCGTTGCTGATGGTGGGCCACCCGGCAACGGGTTATGATCCGGTGGCGTTGCTTCCAGCCTGAAACCCAGCAAACGAACCGGGGGCGGTGGTGCCATCCACTCTGAGGTTGAACTGTCTTGGTCACTTCCCAGGCAATTTTGATGCTCCACGGCCAAGAAAGCAACAAGCAAGCAGTTGTTTCCACATATACAGTGCTCAGTAAAAACAAGATAAGGCTTGTTCTTGACGCAACAGCAGCAAATGGGAGATTTCCCTGATTCCTTTTTCAGCAAAAAGAAACATCGGCTTCACAACGTGTGGGCGCCAGTCGAAGCCCTACAATATCCTATAATATTAAGATTACATTAAGATTACCACTATATATATATTATTGTTGTCTTCCTTTTTAGTGAAATGCGGTCGTCAATTCCATCCAATCCCTGAAGCATTGTTGTCCATGATGTCTCCAAGTGTAGAGCCAGAACTGATCGACCAAATCCTACACCTCCAAACTCCAAACCACCAACTCTGAACGACAAAGCAGCCAAGCATATTGAAAACGCTCAGGAAACCCAGGATGTACAACATTGTTTCATGTGTAACTGTAAAACTGTAATACATTAATGTGTTTCCAGCAATATCAGACACGTCACTGTGGAAAAAGGGTCCGGCGGCCCCCCCGTTCGTTTCTTCTTCGGTCTGAGTCTGGACAGTCCAGGTTCGCTCCCGCTCACGGTCCAGTCCTGATGACGGTGTTGTACGCCTCGACAGGTGCATCACCAAGTGCTGCGACCTCAAAGAACTGGGTTTGGAGCGTTGTGGCCAGCGAGGGGTGCTTTTGGACACAAACCTGTGATTACCCGTGACCTGGCACCTGCAAACAGAGCCGATCCCAAGTTATTTTCTTGACGAAGAAGAACTGCATTTTGATTTTCACGCTCGACAACTGCAGCAACCTGCCCTGGGGCTGCAGCCATTTCCTCCAGCCAAGCTGTTGCACCTAGCAGTCCGTGCATGGTCAAGGGCGGGGCCATGCGGGTGTGGCTAATTAAAGCTTACCAATCAAAGCTCAAAGGGAAATCAACAGGTGTGTGTGTCACCCTCTGCTACTAAGAGTTTTTCCACCTAACAACTCGGTTGCTTGCAGGGGGGCCAGCGCATGACATCACGACGCTGGCCAACGAAGCTAGCGATGTCATGGGATGCGGTCAGAAACGTCTGACCGTGTACCTGCCAAGAAACTGTTGATCACGCTGTCCACTCCTTTGGTTTGCTGCCATGGTTGTTTTCATGATAGACCCCAACACATTTCCCACGGCCGCTTTCCACCGTTCGTGAGCTGCCGCTGAGTCACTGCAGATGCGCATCAACAAGGTTTGAAACACCTTCACGTTTTCGGACGCTTCACCTTGCCGTTGAGTCATTCCTTTAAGCGTGGAACAGATGTAACTGCAAACGCATTATCTAAGTGTGTGTGGGCCAACGTTGGGAGATGTTGTTGACCATTGGGTTGCGTAGCAATATACAGTACACCGTTTTGAAAATTATGGTGCGAGGCTTTTCGGTTTATGGTGCATATGCGCGGCCGGAGTTCCAGTAAGAAATATTCTGCAGCAGACCTAGGTGTGCACCATCTTTTTGCATCTGCACAGCTGAGCCTTGAAGGCCCCAAGGACATGGTCAATCATGCCCAGAGAATTGGTTGCATGTCTGTCCGAAAGTATATAAAAATGCACTTGCTGGTGCTGTCAAGTTAGTTGAGGTTTACACACACAATGCCGCATAAATGGCATCTACCAGCGCCCAAACTCAGAACGCTCCAAAACCTGGCATTTTTGTGCAACAAAACTCAATATGATTCAAAATGCTTCCTGACAAGGACTCAAAAAGGAATCCTCATGGAACGCACCATCTTTTCTTATGCATCCGCATTGGTATGTAGGCCCAGGCTTTCATGCCTTCTGCTTCTGTACTTGAACACAGACCATGTCATGGCAAAAGTG